CAGTGGTTGTGGGATCATGCCTCTCTACCCTGTCCCCCCGGGGGGAAAAATTGAGTTTTAGCAAGTACCTCACTAATCATTTGACCAGAACCCCACTCCCACCCGCACCCCCACCCCACTCCATCCTGGACATCATCTGAATTACTGACCGGGGCCTCTCCATCGTCCTGCTGATGTCCAAGCCCCTGACCCATCTTCAGTGAGAATCCTATTCCATTGCGTTAGCCAGAGTCCCCTTATTAGTCCTGGACAGCTAGTACAGCTGGTAGGGCACTTGGCTTGCACGAACCAACCTGGGCTCAACCTCTGGCACCCCGAATAGTTCCTGAGCACTACCAGGAACGATCCCTGAGTGTGGAGTCGGGGTGAGCCCTGAGCATCCCCTGAGTATAACCACACTCCCCTCCCAAAAAATAATTGTGTCTATTCCTAATCCCTTAGTCTGATGCTTAGTCCTTCGGGGAGTGGAGGGGCCCCACCTCGTGATGTTGAGCGTTTGCCGCTCCCAGTGGGTATCCCACAGACCAGGTTCGGATCTGGGACTTCCACATGTGAAGCAGGCGATCCGGGCCCAAGCCCCGTCTCCCAACCTCTGGTGTCTTACAGAGCGCCCCCTTCCCCCTCCACCCCCTGCCACACACACACACACTCTGCTCCTTGGCTACAAGAGCCCACTTGCCCTGGCTCTATTGAGTGCTTCTAGCAGAAGTCTCACTCTTTCTGCAGAAATCAAGTCTATTCTGCCACTTCACTGGGTTCTCGTATTGCAGTAGCACCTGGGCCTGGCCTCCAGGGAGCTGTGGCACTGTTCTGAGCCTTAACGGACCTGCTTTGGATTTTCCTCTGAGGTCACATCTGAAGCACATGGTACCAGGCCTGGAACGAGGCTCCCCCCGTTTGCTGTAGTTGGCGCCGACACCCTTCCCCAAGGCCATTTCGGTGGGTGTTTGCAGGAGCACTGGGTCCAGGCTTTTGCTTTTTTTCTATTTTCCCACTCCTGGGGTCTTAAGGCAACCCCAGAGCACAGTCCTGGGGTCAGGAAGCAGTTCTCAGCTTTGTTCCCGGACCCTCTCCCCCCCCCCCTCTGCCTTTCCCACAGGGTGGCGATGGGGAGCAGTCGACGTCCAGGGTGGGGAGCCCTGTGTGAACTCAAGGCAGACATCAGCGATGAGCATTATAAGCGACAGGTGCCCTATTCGAACAGTAGCACTGCACTGTAGCACTGTCCTCCCGTTGTTCATCGATTTGCTTGAGCGGGCACCAGTAATGTCTCACAACAAATTGTGAGACATGTTGTTACTGTTTTTGGCATATCGAATACGTCACGGCTAGCTTGCCAGGTGAAATAAATCTCACTGGGGCTTCTGCACACCCCAGGGAACCGGAAGCTCCAGCCCCTATGCGGGGAGAGGATTAACCCTTTTTTTTTTTTTGCTTTTTTGGGGTCACAACTGGTGATGCACAGGGGTTACTCCTGGCTCTGCACTCAGGAATTACTCCTGGCGGTGCTCAGAGGACTATATGGAATGCTGGGAATCAAACCCGGGTATGCCGTATGCAAGGCAAATGCCCTACCCGCTGTGCTATCGCTCCAGCCCCGGTCTTTTCCTTCACAATCATGTTCACCTCGAAAACCAAAGGAGCGAGTCCCAGTGGTCATTATTGCATTTGAAAACATAATTGGAAGTTGAGAGCGCCTTCGCTTGTGCTTTTGTGGGGACGGGCCTTGGAAAGAGAAAGTGGGGGTCCAGAGGCGGACGGGTTGGGGTCTGCTGGGGGTATTGTTCATTCAGCTGTTGCCCCTTTTTCTCCATCCTTGCCTCTGGAGAAGGGACCATCAGCCTTTCTCTCGGGGGCAGGGGCAGGGGGCTTCTGTCGCCCATTGTTGCCTGGTCAGTACAGAATCTTTTCTGCACTTCACATTCTCTAGCAGGGCAGGTGAGGGGCTCCCCCGGAGGTGGTCTGAAGAACCAGACTCACTCTGAGCTGGGCTGAGGGAGACGGGGACCTGCCTGCCAGGCCCAAGGCACTTGGGGTAGCATCACGTGTCCCACACTGGGGAGACGAGGCTAGGAGCCCCCCAACCATGATGAAATGCTGCCATGCTTCTTATACTTTGGTTTTTGTTTTGGTTCAGTTTTGACTTGGAGGCCTCAGGCAGTCATGCTCAGGCGCTACTCTTGATTCTGTGCTCAGGTGTCACAGTGATGGGATTGGGGTGGGATTGGGGGACGACCATGCAGTGCCAGGGATCCAACCCAGCGCTCTTGCACACAATGCTTGCTTGCTCTGTGAGCTTCCTCCCCGACCCAGAAAATGCACAAATTCTAAGTGTGAGGTTCAGTGAATTTTTTTTTTTGGTCTGACACTATTTTCCAGATCAAATGCATAAAGCCTGTGATTCCCCCGAAGTGTGATTCAAAGCCAGCGCCGGGTAGATGATGTGTGAGCTATTCGGCCCAGCTAGGATGGTTTGAGGATAAAAAGTTAAGCAAGGGCTGAAGGAAGTCAGTGGCCAGATCAAACTTGCAGCCTCACACGTACGAGGTCGGTGCTTTAAGTCACTGAGCTGTCCCCGGCCCCTTTGTTGAGAACTTAACAAGGGAGCACCTTGGGCTCAATTCTTCACCCTGTTTGCCTTGGAGATCTGAGCCACTCCCCAGACTTTAAAGACACTGTAAGTGGTAGGTAGGGCATTTGCCTTGTACACACTCAACCCGGGTTCAATGCACAGTACCCTAAACCCTACTAGTAGTGATCCCTGAGCACAGGGCCAGGAGTAAGATGTGAGCATTGCCAGATCCCAAGACAAAAACAAAAACGAACTCGTAAATGGTGATATCTGCCAAACCAACGGCTGCCCGATTCAGCCCACCACTGGGTCCGACTCACTGTCCTTGCTTAGACTTTTCACGGACACCTCAGACCAGGGATGTCCAAACCCAGATTCCTCAGCCTCAGCCCAAAGGCCCTAAATGGCCGTTCCATCCCTCCCGCTCTTCAGGCCCAGCCCTTGAAGGTCATTCTTGAGCGCTGTCCAGTCCGCACACCCTATCCATCAGCCAGCAAGTTCAGATGAGTTCAGAATGAATCCCGAAGTTTCCCTTTTCACAGGGTGACTTGCAATGGGAGCCAGCCCATGTGGCTCTCCTGCTGACCACCGGGGTGGCTGTCCCTCCCCCTCCCCCGACTTCGGGGGCGCTCTGCCTCCTTCCTCCATCCTCCCCACCACCCAGCTGCCGCTCTGCCCTCCTGTTCTTCCTCTGTCCACCCGTGGGCGGAGTGCCTTTGTGTGTGTGTGTTGGCGTGGGGGTGTCACGGCCTGGAGACTGTTTTCTGAGCACTTTCTCCCCAGTAATACTCAGGTGTCTTGGGGGTGACTCCAACAGTACTTGGCCACCTGAGCAAGGCAGCTCAATGCTTGGGCCCAGACATGCTGAGGCAGCGGTGCGGGGGAGGGGAAGGCAGTGGAGAGCAACAGGGCTGGGGGGGAGGGGACACGCATTTCGGGAGATCAAACTTGGGTTATGACCCTGGCCCTTGAGTTCTCTCCCTGGCCCTTTGTTTGCATTATTCCCTTTTAGGGGGTCTGGGAGACAGGCTGGGGAGCGGAGCTATACCTGACAGTGCTCAGGGATCACTCCTGGCAGGGCTCAGGGGACCGGACCATATGATATGCCAGGGATCAATTCCAGCACCCTCTAGTCCCTGGATTCTCTTTATTGGGTGGCTGGGGCACACTCCTGGCCCTGTGCCCCGAGGGTGGTGCCAGGGATGCCCAGTGTTGCCTTTGCTCTGCTCTTTTGCTGATGAGCTGTCCCTCCATCCCTGGACAGTCACAAGGTCACCTTCTTCTCTTCAGCCAGGCCTTTTCTCAAGAGCCATGTCGTAGTTCCTTCCCAAGCCAACGCACCACAGAGGGGTGACAGCCAAGGGCTGAAACGAAGCACACAGCATGACTTCTCCCGTGCTCTCGCAACGCATCTGCCGCTCCCTGACAGGCTCTGTGTTTATTTGTTCTTACTTTTCTTCCCGGGCTGGAGCGATAGCATAGCAGGTAGGGCATTTGCCTTGCACGCGGCCGACCCGGGTTTGATTCCTCCACCCCTCTCGGAGAGCTCGGCAAGCTACTGAGCGTATTCAGCCTGCACGGCAAGCTCCCCATGACATATTCCGTATGCCAAAAACAGTAACAACAAGTCTCACAATGGAGATGTTACTGGTGCCCACTAGAGTGAATCGATGAACAATGGGTGGACAGTGCTACAGTGCTACTCTTCCTCTCTGCATTCCCTAGTGTTGTCTAAAATCTCAGCATCTCTGCTCCTGTTTGGCCGGCCATAGTGACAGCACTGCCTGGAAGGTCAGCCTTTGGTTCAGAATAGAGGACTCTGCTTAGAGCCTGGTGTGAGTTCGAATTCTCTCTCTCTCTCTCTCTCTCTCTTCTCTTTCTCCCTCTCCTCTTTCTCTCTCCTCTTCTCTCCTTTCTCTCTCTCTCTCGCTCTCGCTCTCGCTCTCTCGGCTAATTGGCTAATTCCCAGCCCCTGCCTCAGTTCCTTGTCTGTGAAATGAGAGGGCACTAGCCAATGTCCCCTAACAGCTGTGAGGAGCATAAGCAATCTTTCCCGCAGGACCACCTAGCGGGTTCTCTGTGCACTAGTAGGTGTTAGCTCTTGGTTATTCTTTTCCTTTGTTTTTTGGGCCATACCTGGTGATGCTCAGGGGTTACTCCAGCAGTACTTGGGGGTGACTCCAACAGTACTTGGCCACCTGGCTTTTCATTTAGGAATGACTCCTGGTGGTGCTCGGGGGACCATATGGGATGCGAGGGATCAAACCTGGGTCGGCCTGAGAGCGAAGTGCCCTCCCCACCATCGCTCCAGACCAGCTCTCAGTTACTCTTCTATTCCATGTACCTGTCCTGTTCCTGTAGGGAATGTAAACACACAGCAAAATGTGCTGAAAAGAAAGACAGTGGAAGTGCAGACCAGGACAGGGAGTTTTATTATATGTATAAATGGAAGAGGAGACAGAAATGAAACAGGATGACCCAGGGTGGGGTCGCATTTAGCTGCAGAGGGAACACAGGCGGGTCTTCATCCCTGGGAGTTCCTGTGCAGAGAGAAAAATCGAACACAGTCAGGAAGTGAAGTCATGGTAAGTTAGACCAGGCAGAGCCCTGGCACCGGGGGCCGTGAGTGTGTCTGTGTCGGCATCGGATCTGGTGGGGCGGAGACAGGCCGGGGAGGGGGGCTACACCTGACAGTCTTCAGGGATCACTCCTGGCAGGGCTCAGGGGACCATATGATATGCCAGGGATTAATTCCAGCACCCTCTAGTCCCTGGATTCTCTTTATTGGGCAGCTCCAAAACCAGTGTCGTACGACATCCTAGAGGCCAGCAGTGCGCCCACCCCTGCCGGTCTTTCCTCGGGGACGCCCTCCACGCCCCACTTCCTCCTTTCTGCCCTGGCGTCTCTAACCTCCCAGCACCCACTCAACCAGCCCCTCAGTGTGTGCTTGAATGGGTCTGTCTGAGCTGCAGGCTTTGCATCCAGAGAGGAGGAACCATCCCATTCCCTTGGTACCCCCACCCAGCGCCTGGCACCCCAGTGCTGAAGGAGCACTTGCCAATCTCAGGACATGAGGCTCTGAACCTCCCCCCCTCGGGCTTTGAGTGGGCTTAGGGGTGTGTGTGAGGGTGCAGAGATAGAGGCATCTGCCACCCCCTCCTCTGTACCCCCTGCGGACTCTGTCCCCAGCTGTAGTCAGGCTTTTGCAGGCTGAGCTGGAGGGGATGTACAGGGCAGTTGGATGGCCCTTCCCCCTCTGGCTTTTAATCTACAGGAACAAAGGCTGTGTTCTGAAGACTTCACCCCTCTCTCCCCCCTCCCCCGGCAACTTGGGGCCACTTCATTCCGTGGGCTGGGCCTGGGGGACAAGACTGATGAGTGACCCCAATGAGGGACGCGGGGAGCCATTCCCAGAGCCCCATCTTCTCCCCTCAACCCCCTTCCTCAGAGTCTAAGCTCAGGGACCTTCAGAGAGGACGGGGCTGCCACCCTGCACAGAGAAGGAGCGCCAGGCGGTGGCTGTGTGTGGCTGGGCTTGGGGTCCTTCTCGCCCCCTGCCCGGTCTTCACCCACTCCGGCATCAGAGGCTGCTTCTTTGTGGCTGATTCCCCACACCGGTGGGTAATTGGGTTGGGAAGAAGGTGAGGCACCCACAGAGAACTGTGCTGGGAGCTGCATTTGCTCGATCCGTTGACCCAGAAGTGCCAGGCAGAGTCGGGCTGAGGACGCCTGTGTTCACAACCCAGAGTCGGGCTCTGGGACACGGCAGCGGTGAGGAGCGTGGCCAGGCCGCTTTCCCCCGGAACCTGGCCCCCGCGAGAGTGGGAGGGGTCAGTGGTCTTTGGCTTTGCCGCAGACAGTGTGCCACAAGCTTGCCGTAAAGAGTCAAAACCCAGTTTCCTAAGCGCCATCCCAGTGCCACTGAGTAAGGAACCCAGATGTTCGGACTCAGATGCTGAGTGTGGCTGCCGTGGCATAGCACGGTCATCGTGAAGGCCCCGCCACGGCCCCACTGGGTCCCCCCACCAGGCCTTGGCAGGCACATGGAGGGAGTTGGTGCCATTTCCTTGGCAGAGCCCCATATGTTTGGAGAGAGTCTTTTCCTGCTTGGTTTGGTTTGGTTAGGTTTGAGGCCACACCTGGCAATGCTCAGGGATTCCTCCTGGCTCTGCACTCAGGGATCACTCCTGGTGATGCTCAAGGGACCATATGGCGTGGCCGGATTGAATCCAGGTCCGCCACTGCAAGGCAAGCGCCCTCCCTACTGTACTGTTGCTCCGGCCCCAAGGAGAGGAGAGTCTGTCCTTTAACTGGCACCTCAAGGGAGGACGCTTCTGAGGCAGCTGTGTGTGAACACCACACACACATACACATTCACACACATACATGCAGATGTGATACACATACATACACACACACGCACACATGACACACACATATACACAATCACATCTACACACATCCACGTGCAACCCACATGCCTACACACAAATACATTCTCACATGTGCACACATACACTCTCATATATGTATACACATAAACATACATACATGCACACGCATACACGTGCACACACATGCAAACACACACACAATCACACATCTACATGCATACACATACATGCACTCTCGTATACATGCATGTACACAACATGTACGCACATACACATACATGTACACAACACTCATACACGTGCTCACAGACACATAAATCTCATACATATGTGCACACACATATACACTCACACAAACACACTAATACATGTGAACGTATACACATAGTACTCATACATGCACGTGCACACATACTGCATGCACACACTCTCAAACTTGAGCACACACACACTCACACCTGCGCACACATATATACTCTCACACCTGCATATGTACACACACTGATACCTGCACGCACACACACACTTTCATACCTGCACACACATACACCCTCTGTCCACACATACACACCTGCATACCCACACACTCTCACACCTGCATGCACACACATATACCGTCTGTCCACCCACACACACTCTCACACCTGCACACACACACTCACAGCTGTATACATACACAGTCGCATACCTGCACATGCACACACACTCTCACAGTTGCATGCACTCACTCTCACACCTGTGCCCATACACTCTCACACCTACAGCATAGATTCTCACACCTGTGTCCACACACACTCACACCTGCACACCCACACACTTTTTCACACATGTGCCCGCACACACTCTCCTACCTGTGCACACACTCTCACACCTGCAGCACAGACACACTCTCACACCTGCCACACACTCTCAGCCCCGCAGGCCCCTCCCGCTCTCGCACTCCCCTACCTGCGCTCCCGCAGCAGGGCCCGCAGGATGCTGTCCGGCACCACCTGCTCTTGGGTCGCCCACATGTGGTCCACCGCACGGCCAAGCCGGGCCTTGGCGCCTGGCTCCTGGCTCCGCTCTCTGTTCCGTTTGAGAGAGAAACGGCTGAATGTGCCGCGCAGGCTTGTGGAGAGTCCCGGGAACGTGGGGTGAGTGCCCTGAGCCCCAAGCCCGCTCCAGGATGTGCTGTGGCTCTTCCCCCCTGCTTAGCCGTTGAGTAGTCCGGGCGCCTCAGCTAAATGCCTCTCAGCCGCAGGAGCACGTGGCTTGTCCCTCGCCCAGGACACGCTGGCTTTGGGGAGTCAGAACTGGCAGCACCTGAGCCATGTGAGCCCCAGGAGTGGGACAGACTGACATCATGGGAGCACGCTGAGGACACGCACTGGGGCACGTGAACCTGAGTAGGACCAGGAGGAAGCTTCGGGAAGGCCCAGCAAGGGGCAAACAAGAAATAAATGAATAAATAAATGAACCCAAAACACCAGTGTAGTAGAGACTGAGGAATCGCCCCAGATTGTCGGACACCAAGGCTGACAGCAGTTCCTGACCCCAGTTGGCTCCCAGTCAGGATAGAATTGTTGTTACAAAGGACACTGGGGACAGTGGGGGAAATTTGGATTGGAGTCTGAGTAATTGTTACGCTGAAATTATTTTATGTAAGAAAGTGTCTTTCTGTTGGATACTGGAAGTCACAGGCAAAAGTGCCATAGGCCTGAGAGATGGCTGACAGGGCTGGAACGTACAGGAAGGAAGGCCAGGTTCAGTCCTGAGCATCATCAGGAGTGACTCTCAAGCACAGTGCCAGAAGTAACCCGGGCACCCCTAGGTGAGGAAAGAGAGAAAGAGAGGTGGGGGGAGAAAGAGGAAGGAAGGAAGGAAGGAAGGAAGGAGGGAGGGGGGGAGGGAGGGAGGGAGGGAAGAAGGAGGAGGGGGTGAGGGAGAGAGGGAGGGAGGGAGGAAGGAAGGAAGGAAGGAAGGAAGGAAGGAAGGAAGGAAGGAAGGAGGGAGGGAGGGAGGGAGGGAAGGAGGAGGGGGGCAGGGAGAGGGAGGGAGGGAGGGAGGAAGGAAGGAAGGAAGGAAGGAAGGAAGGAAGGAAGGAAGGAGGGAGGGAGGGAGGGAGGGAGGGGGGGAGGGAGGGAGGGAGGGAAGAAGGAGGAGGGGGTGAGGGAGAGAGGGAGGGAGGGAGGAAGGAAGGAAGGAAGGAAGGAAGGAAGGAAGGAAGGAAGGAGGAGGAGGAGAAGGATGGGGGAGGGAGGGAGGGAAGGAGGGAGGGAGGAAAGAAGGAAGATGGAAGAAAGAAGGGAGGGAGGAAGAAAGGAGTGAGGGAGGGATGAAGGAAGAAAGGAAGGAAGAAGAGAGGAGGGAAGGAGGGAGGGAGGGAAGAAGTGGGGGGAGGAAGGGGCTGGGGAGTGGTTACTTGAGGCATGTGCCTAGCATGTGGTGGGCCCAGATGCCCCCCAGCACCCCCCTTCCCTCAGTAGAGATCAGCTAAGTGTGACTGGGCCCCTCTGCTGGGGACCCCTGGGGAGCCTAGCCAGGTCCCCCGCCCGGAGCGCGTGTGGCTTGGGCTGCGGCCGCTTACCCCTGCCGCCTGCTCAGGATGTCCTGCAGGAGCTTGCGGGCCGACAGCTGGCCCAGCACCTTGCGGTAGCCGTTGCTGAAGATGGCATCTGCGTAGCGTGGCGTCCTGCGGGAAGGAGCAGAGGCCAAGGGGATGGCGGGGCAGGGGCTTGAGCTACATCCTCAGGCTGGGTGGCATCTCTGGAGCTCAGGGTACACCGCCTGCCTGCACCCTGGGGTGTCACTTGGGGAGAGCCAGGCGGGGGGGGGGGGTGCAGGGGTCTCTCTCCTGTATCTCCACCCTCCCCCGGGGCAGGGTGGAGTGGGGGTGCTGGGAGCTTACCTGAGGGGCGGGGAGGGTGGGGGGCAGCAGGACTCGCTGCCCAGGGCGAGGGTGACCAGGAAGAAGACCCAGAGCTGCATCATTCCCTGGGGAGACGCAAGGGCAGAAGGTCAGAGGCCTGTGGCTGGCCAGACCCAGCCCGGATGCGGCCCGGGGCGTGTAGAAGCTGGAGGGTCTGGAGGGGCACCTGGACATGGCCCTGCCCCGGCCTGCCCCAAGCTCTGACCTCATTTTCTGGTTCAGTTGGGGAAGGGGGGTGGGGCCACCCCAGCAGTGCTCAGGGGTCGAGCCCTGGGGATCTTGCATTACCCGGTCCAAACCAGCTTGGCAAACGCCAGGCAGGCATCTTACCCCTGTGCTATGTCCCTAGCCCTTGGTATCACTTTCTTCCTCTGTGCCGTGGCCGTGAGCAAACTATCCTGCTGGCTTCTCAGAGCACAGCGGAACCCGAGCACCAGTGGGGATGCTAACCCTGGCAGCTCCCTCGAGGCATGCGGGGGAGCAAGCTGCCCTCCCCAAGTCCCCTGATGACCCCCACACAGGTTGGCTTCTGGAGTGTGAAGCTGACAGGTCAGCCTCAGAGCCACATGCATCTCTAGGCTGTGCTGGCTGGCCAGGAAAAGTGGCTGCCCTTTCTGGACCTCAGTCTTCCCCTCTGTAAAATGGGAATGATCATAACACCTACTGCATGGGGCCCTTGTGTGCATGGGAGGAAGCAGATCCCTGAAGGGGGTCCTGTCATCCATAGGGAATGCCCCATGAGCCTTTGCTGGGACCCCCAATGTCACCCCCTCCGGAGGACAGGCATGTCCTGTTTGGGGGTGTTTTTTTTTCCTTTTTATTTGGGGGGCGGGGGAAGGGCACTATTCTCGAGTTGCTTCTGGCAGTGTGGTGGCACAACACAGGTCCAGGCCCTAACCCAGCAGCTCCTGTTTCTGCTCTATGCCAACCTGGAGGGAGGGCAAAGCTGTCGCTTTTGCTCAGAAGCTAAGTGAGGTGTCACAGGAGAGAGCAGGGCCCCTGGGGAGCGGGGGAATGAAGCATCTCGGAGATCCTTAATCACCCCTAATTGGGGCCCGGAGCACTGCAATTAGGGGGAGAAGCCGACAGGAAGAGAGCCCACTGTGCCCCAGCCCCGCAGGGCGCCTCTGCTGGGAGACCTGCTCCCCAAAGACCCACCGAGGAGGGGGAGGGGCTGGCACAGGGAACTGGAGTGCCAGGTGGCCTGCCGGAGCTCCAGGTTTGGCCCCCAGCACTGCCACAGTGACCCTCCCAAAATACCCTTGGTGAATCCAAGAGTGTCTTGAGACCCCCCAGAGAGTACCCAGAGGATTGCTCAGTGAAGCCCGAGACCCCCAAAACCTTTGGAGCTGGAGGGAGCAGCTGTCCAGGCCCCTCCTGGACATGCGCCTCTGTCCAGATCCCACAGACACCCTTCTGGGTCCGGCACAAACGTCTGGCCAGAGACAGAGGAGCCACGTGCACACCACCTTCAGGCTGGCCGCCCGATTTCCCCAGTGATCTCCTTAGGGGGTGTCTCATCAGACTCATCATGTCTCATCACTTCACGTCCCTTCCCCTTGTCCTGCTATACTTGTTAACTTCCTCTGCTGTAAGCTGGAGAAAGAGAAGATGACGGCGCCTGCCCCTGACTTTTTTACTCCCCATTGTAACGTCCCTCTGCGCAGCAGGCCCTGTGCTTTGCCTCTGACAGGAGCTCATTGCTCCACAGACCAAGGCGGGCGTCAGTCTCTTCCTGTCAGGGCCGGGCGATAGTACAGCGGGAAGGGCATTTGCCTTACACAAAGCCGACCTACTTTCGCTCCCCACATCCCATATGGTCCCTGAGCACCACCAGGAGTAAGTCCTGAGTGCAGAGCCAGGAGTAACCCCTGAGCATCGCTGGGCATCCCAATTGACTGACCAGGAGTAAGACCTGAGCACCACAGGGTATCACAATTGTCTGATCAGGAGTAAGCCCTGAACATCACTGGGTGTCATGTCCGGCTCCCTTCTCCCAGCCTGGCTGCCTTTCCCGAGGGGCCACGCCCTAGGCAGGACCATCTCTGGGGCAGGGGTCCCCCTAGACCTGGGATCTTCTTCTGGCTACATCTGGCTGGCCTCTCCTTTTTTGCTGCGTATCTTTTTGATTTGCTGGTTTTGGTTTTGGGTCACACACCTGGTGGTGCTCAGGGCTTCCTCCTGGCTCTGTGCTCTGTCAGCCACATGCAAGGGAAGTGCCCTCCCCGCTATACTATTGCTCCAGCCCCCATGCTGCTGTCTTTTAAAGGCCAGAGTTCATGAAGCTGAAGAGACAGTACAGAGGTTAGAGTGTTTGCCTCATCAGCACTGAGGAAGTCGGGTTCAAATCCCAACACAGCACTGCATCTGGTTCCCTGGGTACCGCCAGGAGTAACCCCAGAGTCAGATATGGCCCCCGTATACTGCCGGGTGTGGCTCCCACACAAAACAGAACCCAAAGATCCAGACCAGGGTGCAGCCAGGCCCCCATTCTCCTCACCCCTGCTCTAGGTCCCTCACTCCCGAGAGAGAGACCCCAGCCTTTGCTCTTGGCTTCCGGCCCCTTCTACTGTGGGTGGCTGGCACCAGCAGCCCCTGTCACCCCTGGCATGCAAAGCGTCCCATCCCTATGCGTTTCCAGAAAATTTGTTTTGGAGTGGACACTTCAGAGAGACATCACCCAGCCCAGCGCCTCCCTCCCAGGTACAACACCCCAGTCCCCCGCGCCTGAATCAGGATGAATCACGATCCACCCCACCCCCACCCCCACCCGTACCCCCCCACATCACTTGGTTCTAAACATGTCTTTGCTCTTTGTCATCGGGTCTCAGAAAACGAGAACAAGGGGACAAACTGGAACCCTGCTTGATTAGTGTCCCTCTGTGCCCCTTGAGGAGGATTAAATGGAGCCCCACAGGGGGCTGGTTTGGGGGGAGCAAACCTCAGGCCAAAGCAACCCCCGGAGGCACATTTGCCACCAACTAGGCCCCCAGGGATGACACAGACCCCATGGCAGTCTCCGAGTCCCCCTCTCCCTAAGTTGCCAAATCCCCTCCAGACCAAGGCCAGCCAGCTGATGGGTGACACACAGAGGTGTGGACCCAGGGACAGGGCCACGCACTGCAGCACAGGCTTTGCGAGCTGGGGCCCCCCATATGATCCCCGCCTCTGCAGGGTCCCCCAAGCCCCCAAGCACTGCAAGGTGTGCTCCCCCACCCCCACAAACCCCACACAAAAAGAGGAGAGCTGTGTCCCCAAACAACATAGCTGTGGCAGGTCCGGAAGCCGGAATCCCGGGCTAAAGAACAGGCGCCCACAGGCACGCGTCCCCGGGCTCCTGCTCTGGTGAGTGGCTCTCATCAGCTTGCTTTCACAACTCTGACCAGCCGAATTCCCTGATCGGACCAATTTAGGGTCACCGGACAAATGGGTGCTCAATCTACCACCCCGGGCACCCTGTGGTGGCCGGCAAGTCAAGCACACCACAGCAGCCGTAAGAGAAGCGCGGGGTCACGGTGGAACTAATAAAGCCCCTTTCTGAGCTCTCAAGGGGGGCGCCCACTCTGCAATCCAGGAAGCCTGAAGCATGCTGTGGTGATCCAGCTTATCAGCTTATCCAGTTTATCAGAGCGATTCGAGTGGAAGGAGACATTTCTAAGGAGAAAGAACCGCCAGGCAAGGGAGAGAGGCCCAGCTCCTCCTGCCGAGGATTCGCGCCCCGGGCGGTGGAGGGTCCCTACTTGAAGACCTCACAGCCGGGATGGAGACGAGCGTGGGGTAATGGAGTGCTCCCGGCACGGATAATTGGGTCTCAAACCTAGAGAAAGGAGCGCGGCAGCAATTGAGCAAGAAAGCAAAATGTTATCAATTTCCAGGCAATTATGCCGGATCGGTTGGGCGCGATCGATGAGCGGGATTGATTTGCAGCCACTTGGCTCCTTTCAAACCCGGGGCGGAAGCTCAGGCTTTGCAGGCACAAATTCAGCCCCGGGTTCAACCTGAAAGAGCGGCGGCCTCGCTGCCTCTGACCCACCCCCGGGCGTCCCCCACTCCGTGGGTCAGGGATGGCAGCACACCCCTGGGACTACCCCCCAAATGGCACCTCCACTCAAGGGACTCCAGACAGAGCCCCCCAGCACAGGTCGAGATGGACTTGGCCATGCACAGACAAAGAGGGGGTGGGTGGGGCCCTGGAGTGGGCGCCTGGGTGTTGGGGGGGAGGGGAGGGCCCCAGCCCAGCATTGGGCACCCCTCTCACCTCTATCTTTCCGAGACGGCAGGTCTCTCTCTCTCTCTCTCTCTCTTTCTCTCTCTCTCTCTCTCTCTGCTCCCAGGTGTCGCTCCGGCTCCCGGGTGCCCTGGTCTCTGGTCTGCTCCGTGGCCGTGGCGCTCCCCCATTTATCCCTTCATTTCCCTAAGCGGCGTGGATGGCGTTGGCGTCAGGGAATCAATTACCCACAAGGCCCGTGTTCAGCAGGGAGAGGGCTGGGCCGCTCTGGAGAGGACGTGTGTGGAACTCGCCTGTCTCTCAGGGAGCCCACCGTGGCTCGGAGATGGATCTGGCAGGAGGAACCACGAGTATCTGCTGTGGAGCACTGTCCCAGGGGTGAGGGAGCCCCAGCGCGGGGTCAAACGTGCCTTTTGGAGAGTCCCTACAACTTGGCCTCAGCCATATGCAGTTTGCTCTCGTGCCAGGGCTGATGGCAGAGCAGCGTTTTTCTCTCCGTGGCTGGGAACGTGGTTGGCCACGTCCTTGGTTGTCCAGTTACCAGCCTCTCCTCCATCTGACTCGCACTTGCGGCCTTCTTGGGGGGGCAGGGAGACAACTAGAGCCCAGGGAAACCCCAAGCGTGTCTGGGAACACTGGGAACAGAGATACGGGAAACCTTGAGAGGGCTGTGCTCTGACTTCTCTGACCACGAGAATTCTCCAGAATGGGCATCCCCAACCCAACCCCTGCCTCCCCAGGGGAGGCTGAAGTGTTGGTTTCTGGGAAGGTGACACAGGCAGAGAGCTCTGAGTTCCAGATCTGGAGCCTGGCAGCTGCCACATCCGTGTC